GAAAGAAGGAAAGAAGGAAAGATAGAGATAAAGACAAAAAAGAAAGAGAGAGAAAAAAGAAAGAAAGAGAAAGAAAGAGAGCAAGATAAAAAGAAAGAAAGAAAGAGAAAAAGAAAGAAAAAAGAGAGAGAAAGAAAGAAAAGGAAAGAGAAAGAAAGAAAGAGAAAGAGAGAAACAAAGAGGACGAGAGAATGTTAAAAGTCGTCTCCTTTAGCCCAGAAGACAGCGGACAAATTTCTCTAGAAGGGTTTGAGATCCTCCTTGAGAATCCTCTTTGACTGACGGAACCTCCCACCCCTCCTTCTTCTCTTTACTCCTTCTTCCTCTTCCTCTTTCGCCCTCTTTCAAGCTCTATCCTCCTCGCTTTGTTAATTCCTCACTCTTCCTTTACTCTTCATTATTTGTCCTCCTTTTCCTCCTCCTCCTTCCATCTTTATCTCTTCCTCCTTCTTCTCCTCTTGTCCTCTCCTTCTATCATCATCTCTCCCTCTTCATCGCCCTTTGCTGCAACTCCTTCTCCCCTCCACTCTCCCTCGTCCCTTACTGCTTCTTTCCTTCCATGCATCCTCCCAACCTCCCTCACCTCCTCCTCTTCCCTTTCTCTCCTGCTCCCTTTCTGAATCTCTCCTACCCCTCCTTCCCTTTCCCATTCTATTCTAACTCTTCCTCATCTCCCTCCCTCTCCATACCCTCCCTCCCTTCCTCTTCCCCTCCCCCTCCTCCCTTCTTCCCTCCCCTCTCCCCCTCCTCCCTTCTTCCCTCCCCTCCTCCCTCTCTCCTCTCTCTCCCTACCCCTCCTCCCTCTTCGCTCCTTCCTCCCTTCTCCTCCCACCCTACCCTACTTCCCCCTCCTCTCCTTCCTTCCTTCCCCCTCCTTCTCCCTTGCCTCTTTCCTCCCCCTCCCTCCCTTCCAGCTCTCCCTCTACCCCTTCCTTCTACTTGAGCAGGGGAGGGGGTAAGGAGGAGGAAGGGGGGGGGAGGTAGGCAGATAATAATAATAAAATAATAACGATATTAATAGCAATAGGAATGATGGCAATGATGGACTAAACATCAGCAAGAACAATGATAATAATAATGATAATAATCATAATGAAAATTAAAATGATAACAATAATAGCAACAACAAAACAACGATAATACTGATAACAACAATAACAACAATGATAAAAATTAATAGTAATAACAATAGTAATGATAATGATAATAATAACAATGATAATAAAAACAATGATAATGATTATGATAAGTATAATGATAATAAGACCAACAATGATGTTCATAATAATAATGATTATAATAAAAACAATAATAATAATAATAATAATAATAATGATAACAGTGATAATAATGATTTTCATAATTATAACAGTAGTGCTTACAACAATAATATAAAAAACAATAACAATGATAATAATAACGATACTGATTATGAAAATATAATTATAATGATAATGAAGATGATAATGATAAAATAACCATAGTAATATTAGTAATAATGATAATGGTGATAATTATATTAATAATGATAATAAGAACATCATTACTTACAATAATAATGATGATGAAAAGAAAGGTAATAATCATAATGATGATGATGACAACAATCATATTGATAAGGATCATTATAATAACATCAATTATAATGATAATGATAATTCTTCTTGAGGTTTGTTGCCAAATTACAGATGAATTACGTAAATATATACAGATTATCACTTTTCTTTAGCTTTTTATTTACAGAACCCGATTATAAATATTTTTTCATCATCATTTGTTATACACTTCATGTACGTCCCTATAACTGCCAACAGAATATTGACTAATCATTTATAACGAAACTCCACATAGACGCTTCCTTCTCTCTCTCTCTCCTTTCCTTTTGTGGCTTCCATTATTTTCTATCACTTTATTTTATTTTCAGATTCAGTTATTAGTAATGTAATGATGCCAGTAGCTATGTCAAGATTCCAATGAAGTGTAGGCCTGAAAGACATTTTCCGTGATATAAAGCTCTATCTAATTTGAAATCTCTTTTCAAATTGTTCTATAACCCCCCCCCCCCCTTCTCAAGTAAATCCGTTAATAAAGCCTGTGTCATCAATTCCGGAATAAATTTGAGAGTAGATAAGGGTAGATAAGGGTAAATTTATTATTTTTATACTTACAAAATTCCAATTACACTGATCATAACTAAACGAAAATATTACTGACAGGTTAATATTTTCGCCTACTGATGACTTTGCGTCAATTCCCATACCCTTCATGGCGTGTAAACTGTTATTACTGTAATCACGATCATTAAAAAATTCATCTTTGGTATTTTTTCTAATATTTCCGCAAAACGGATCGAGATGATTTTGGCATCGCTGGATTCCTCTCACTCTCTAGTTTCCAAATATATAGAAATCATTGCGTGGAAACATGAATCACTATGAGTCACTACATTGCTTGATAATAATAATAATGATGATAATGATAATAATAATGATAATAATAA